GTGATTCTTTGCCTTATTCCTCCTTTAAAAGTATTCTAGATATTAGCAATGCTATGCCAGGTTAGCGAAGCACTTTTCATTCTATTCACCTATGGTAGTTAGTTCATCCCACATTTATACTTAGCTCTTATAACTTGAACCCAGAGGGAGTCCCTTTTCTTTATCAAATTCCAATAAAGCTTCATAGTAAAAGCTTGATTGTATAGCTAGAGGTCTTTTATGCCCAACCCACCTTAGCTTTTGCTTTTTATGACTTCCTACCAAGAAACTAGGTGAAGTTTTTTTTAATCTTCCTCATTACCTCATAGAAAACTTTTGCTAGTTTTCTCAATCTTCGTTAAAATTTTAACCGAAAGCATCATTATTTGCATATGGTAAGTCGAAAGAGCTGAGACAATAGCCTTAATGAGCACAATTCTTCCTACCATGTTAAGGAATTTACCCTTCTAACCAGCCATCCTCTTCTTTGTCTTGTCCAGGATAAGGGTGAAAAGACTGATAGAGGCTTTCCCATGAATGAGTGGGATACCTAAATACTTCCCAAGATCACCCATAAGGTTAATTCCCATCTCTCTACACATCTCCAAGCTTCTGTTTAGATGCGCATTCTAAGAAATACAAAGTTTGGTTTTTATGCTTATTCATTCGTTGTCTCCAGATTTGACAAATTGACTTAAACAACTTTCTATAATTTGAACCTGCCCCAAACTTGCCTCCCTAAAGAGAAAAAGGTCATCTACAAAGAAAAGATGTGATAGTCGAGGCCCGTCCTTACCCAGATGTATTGGCTTCCACTTCTTATCTAGTAATGTGTCTTAATGATATAACTTAAGTTTTCCATACAAAGAGTGAAAATATAAAGGGATAAGGGATCTTCTTGTCTCAACTCTCAAGATGATGTGAATTCCTCTAACGCTTCTCCATTCCATAGGACCCTGAATTTTGCACTTGATATACATTATAAAATTAGCTTACTCAACTGATCATTCACGCCAATTTCTTTGAGAACAGTTTCAATAAAGCCCCATTTCATCCTATCATAGACTTTTCCCAAATTCACTTTCACTGCTATACACCCTTTCTAACTTGATTTCACTTTCATTGAGTGGATTACCTCTTATGAAATAATAATGTATCACTCCCTTGCCTCCTAGCTATAAAACTACATTGGTGTTGATCAACCAATTTATCAATAATCTATTTTATGTTGTTTGCAATCACCTTAGTAATGACTTTGTAGTTGATATTGCATAGAGAGATAGGGTGAAAATCTTTTATATATTCAGGTTTTTCCCCTTTTGAAATAAGAACAAAATTGGTTTGATTTAACTTATCTAACCTATCTGGATTCTCAAATATTCCTTTAACCATTTGGTAAGGAATTGCCAACACAAAATTATTTGAAAATTTAAATAAGTATTTATAAGTTTGAAACTAGTTAAATTTTTGAGACTAAGAGGTCATTTAGTAAGGCTGAACATGTAACTCGATAGTTCGAGAAACTCAGCTTGACCCAAAGGAAAAAAATGCCTAATGTTTTTTTAGGAATGGTTGGGCTGGTCGGAAACTGAGGTCGGGTAGGCTTGAGCCAGCCTGTACAACCATTTTGCTCAACTGACCTAAGGTACTTATATTTTCATTTTGTTTACTTTTTATCAAAAAGAAAGATTTAAGGTCTATTTGAGTAACCTACAAAAACACATTTAAACTAGCGTATTTTTGCCAAACCTGATAAATTTTTGAATTTGCCAAACGTACTTTTGCAAAAATGTAAAGTAAAAGAGTTGAAGAAGGAAAAGAACCTAGTGGCAAATTGACTTTCATGCTATAAAAAAAATTATTTCTCACAACACTAAACTTTCAATAATTTACCTAGATATTACAAATTTAAAATTTGGCCTGATTAGTGCCGAGTTTCAAATTTTTTTTTGTCAAAAACGTACATAGAACTTGGCTTTTATCAAGCCAAGTTCTTTTTAACATATATATATATATATATATATATCTATCTGTCCCATCATCTTTTTTTTAGCCAATTTTTTTGTCAGATATAGAACTTGGCTTCTATCAAGCCAAGTTTTATTTAATTTAAAAAAATTAAATATATATCTCATTCCCTCTCTCTTCAGTCAAGTTTTAATCAATTATTCAGGTAAAATTTAAATTATACAATCATTATTCCAACATTATTAACTCCATTAAAGACTAAATAATTAATTGAAGTCTTTAAAAACTCAAACTATATCAAACCCTAGATTTTCTATCATTAAGAAATCAAAAACCAAAGAAAGTATGTGATTAAAAAATATTTAAAACACGTATATAGTTTAAAAAAGTTTGAGATCAGACTCAAGGTATCTATTATGGAATCCTATCTTTAAAATTTTGCTTACTCTTTGTCTTAATTTCTCCTTGTGCACCGAGCAAGAGGAAGACAAAAAAGAAAAAGAAAAAGGAAGTGATGTACGCAGAAGAAGAAATAGAATTGAAAATAATAAAATAAGTTAGTTGGTCCCACATTTTGGTATTCATTCTCTCTTTCCTCTTTTTTTTTTTTTAAATCTTCTTCCTTCTTTTCTTTTAAAAAATTAATAATCTATAAACCCTCCCTCCACACACATATTATGTAATTTTTATAGTATTTTCTTAACATCTTAAAAATTAAACTCTACTATTGTATTTTGATAAACACAATTTCTTTAATATTTATATGATTATACATTTTTTATTTAGATTTGAGGAGTAAAAATAGAGATGTTATAATAACTTAGTGTAATTCATAATATCATGATTGACAATTTTAGATATCTATGATAATTTAGTATCACTCATGGTATAACTTAAAATATGTTAGCAATTTTATTGTTTTTTACTTATGATGACTTAGTCTCACTAAGAACATCTCATTTAATGATTTTAGAGATTTATGTTGATTTATTTAGTTAATCTAAGCGTCTAATGTTGTATTAGACATTAACATTTCAATTTCAATTGATTAGGGACTTCAATTAATTATTTAGTCTTTAATGGAGTTAATGATATTTAAATAATGATTGTATAATTTAAATTTTACTTAGATAATTAATTATTGGCTGAAAAGAGAGAAGATGAGATATATATTTAATTTTTTTTAAATTAAATAAAACTTATCTTCTTCTATATCTGATAAAAAAGTTGACTGAAGAGAGAGATGATATAATAGATATATATTTTTTATGTTATAGAAACTAAATTCTAAGTACGGTTTTGATAAAAAAAATTTTAAAATTTAATACTAATCGAATTAAATTTTAAATTTGTAATATTTAAATAAATATTATTGAAAGTGTAGTTTTGTGAGAAATAAATTATTTTTTTACAGCATAAAGGTCAATTTGCCGAACCTAGCCGCAGCACAGTCACTCACCGCTACTTTTCAGTCGCTCACAGTTGCAACTCACGGTGCGCACACCCTTTTCACCTTTTCCTCCGCTCGATCTGAGATTGAGAATCGCTCATTTGCTTGAGTCCTTCAAGTTCAACCTTTCTTCAATTTCGAATTCATCAGCGGCTTCATCTTCGAATTCACGCTTCGACTTTCGTGGGCTGGCTGTTCTGTTCGTCACTTATTCGGTGCCTTCGTCTTCCCTCTTCGCCTTCTTCTTCGTCTCCGTCTCTTTAACACTGTGCTGATTCGTGCTTGTATGCAACTCGAGCTCGTCTTCATCTTCGTCTCTAGCTCGAGCTGTCTGCAACTCAAGGTATGTTCATTTCATGCTTGCTTCATCTCTGTTCTGATTAGTGTTTCATCTCTTGGCGTGGCTGTTTGTGGCTTCAAGAATATGATTTTTGCTGCATTTTTTTGTTGTTGTTCTTGTGCTCTGATTCTTGACTTCACTGCATGTTCTAAATTTTTCTTGCCTTTGGCTGGGTCCGGCTTGGCAATACTGATTTTTGCTCTAATTAATTGTAGAATTTAAAATTTAGAAACCATGGTATGTAGAGCTTGTTCTGACTTCTGAACTTCACTGCATTTGTCTTAAGTTTTTGGAAACCATGTCTGCTGTTCTGATTTAGTTCTAAGCATGTTCTGACTTATGAAATTCACTTCCTTTCTAATTTTGTTCTGTCAATAGTCTCGTCATTTTTGTTTATAATTTTATATTTATGCTTAGGAGTTTGAAATGGAGGATCAAAATTCGGCAGTAACGCCTGCTCCTAGTGGTATATTTCCTTTGTCACTATCGACTCCTTGTTTGATATGGATGCTTTGTTGAGTTGTTGTTGTTGTTTTCTGATTTAATTGAAGGTTTGTTGGGCCAAAAAAATATGCTTATATTGAGGATTTATTGTTATTTTTACTGTAATTGGTTGTTGTGTGTGTTGTCATTATTTCAGATTTATTTTTTAGGTTAATTTCAGGAAAAGTCATGGCCAAACTAAAGTCATTTTAAGGGCCAAACTGGGCATTTTAGCTCGACTATGCCTGACCCTGCGTGCCTGACCTCTCCCACGTCAAGCATTTTTGGGGCATGGACAGGTATCGGGCTCAAATTTTAGCCTGAAGGGGGTATAGGGTTGGGCAACAGCCAGGGTGGTTCCCCAACCCTGTACGGCCCTGGTCATGCTAATAAATAATGCAGCTCCTCTCACGTATATGTTGTTTTGGATCTATAAATCATTTAATTCTTGTTTTTTATTTTAATCTTGAACTGTGTAAAGTACGAATGCGAGTATTAGGTGATTCAAATAGTTTATAGCTATTTATCAAGAAAAAGTAGTGTGTAGCTCTGGATCAATGTGAAAAATATTTTAATATGATCAAAATCAGAAAAAAAAAAATCCAACCCGAAAAAGAATAATAACACTAGCATAAAAAGAAGAATGAGGGCCCAGATAGATCCTTCAAAACGAAGTCGTTTTATCTCTGCTAAAAAAAGTCATTTTATCAAGTAATTAAATTACAGCGTTAGCTCTTTTTTTGGCAACACCGTTAGAACGCTCGAGATCATTTGCTAGGTTTGGATAGGACTGAAGCGCCATGAGACAAAAAGTAGTTTCGCCATCAATATATGAACGCTGAAGATCATTTTCTCATACAGGATTGTTTTTGGGGAAAATTACGTATAAATTTCATAAAAGGGACTTATCTGCAGATAAATTTAGAAACTATAATCAAATTTTAAAATTTGAGTGTAATTTGAGAGAGATGTAGAAAAACAATATTACCCTTATTTATTAAGTTACAACGACAAAGAAATCTTTTAGGTTTTCTATGCTTCTTACTTCGTATGCCTTCTCCTTCCACGTTTATCTGCATCCCTTCTCCACAGAGCAACCGTGCGAACCCTTGAGCCGTCACTTTCATCTACATCCCTTGGCCGATGCGTTCATCTACTTCTTGCATTGTCGTCTTCCTCTACTTCCCTTTTCAACGCCATCACCTTCCTTCTTCATAGTCTTTGCTTTGTCGCCCTTAAGGATTTTCTCAAGTCTACTCGCATTCACTCTATAATGTTGAGTTTTACTTTCTCTATGTCGTTTCACTGCCATCAATACTGCTGAGATAATTAGGCATGTGAAAGACATATTTACGCATTTTATGTAGTTTCTGTCTTTCTGATTAATTTACAACTTTGGTGTACTTCATTCAAGTATTTGAATGGGTCCATATAGGTTTAATGCCTTTCTTTCTCCATGAATTATATTAAATTCCAATTTTTACCTACTCTAATTTGTCCCACTTATTTTGGCTATTTTCGTTGCTATTTTTTTTCCCCATCGAAGACTAGTTTTAGCAGTTTCTTACTCAATTGGCAGGAAGCTGGCATATCATCTCCTCATGTTTGTGTCATCAATTTGAGTAAGAAGACGCGATCCCTTGATGGGATGAGCAATATTTGTATTGATTATAATTGGCATTGGTGTTGCCCCTCTGTGTGACGCATGGTCAAGAATTTTCAGAAGTAAAATTGCATTAGAATTCGAAAAAGGAGGAAAGAAGCAAAGTGAATGAAGGGCCAGAGACTTGCTCTGTCAGGGCTTGTGAAGTTGGAGGTTTGAGAGCATTTCTACGCCATTAAATACCAAGGTAAGATTCTTAAACTCCTACCCTTTCTTTCTCTTCCATTTTCTCTAGTTGTGGAGTTAGGGTTTCTGTTGGGATGATGATTTTTGGTCCATAATGACTATAAGTGCAAACCTATTGACTTAAATAAAGTTTATGTGAATTATTTAGGTTATTTAAACTTAACATGTATGGCTTTGCTCGTTTTTAGTGTGTGGGTGCCATTAATACTCGAAATTGGCCATAAATGAGGGTTGTTGAAGTGTTTGATGTCGTTAATAGTGGTTTAGTAGTAATGATAATGTAAGTTAAAAGGGGCTAATAAATCCAATGAGTATTAATGGTTATGATTTTGGGAGTTTGAAAGTGTAGACAAAGGATTGTGAAATCTTGCTATATAAAAAACAAAGGATCGTGAAATTTAATCATGGAGGTAGTAATGATTTTAGGCATGGTTAATTGTAGGTTAATCATTATTGGCACCATTCAATTTTGAGAAGAGCTTTGAAAGTGTTTGTAATTGAGAGGTAAACTTTTAACCTCTTAAAGGTTTGAGGTAAGTGAGAAAAATTTATTTTATGAATTTATTTGTTGATTAATTATATGTTAAAGTGAATTATTTGAAAACTAAATGATGTTGTAAATGCAGATTTGATGCAAAATATGGTAATGTGATTAAGTGTGTGTGATGGGTTGAAATTGATGAAAAATGATTTATAGATATATGTATGCTTATATGATTGTTATTATTGAGTAAAAACATGTTCATATATAAATGAGCAACATGGGATTTAATTGCAAATTGAAGTATGTGTTGAATATGACGGTGGTGAAGTGTAATGCGCATGATATGAATAGGTTGATGACAATGAAATTGTATGCTATGTGCTCATGTTATGTGCATGACATAATCATTTATAGAGGGAGTTCGCCTATAAGGAGAGGAATGGATGTTATAAATTTATGTGGTATTAATTGCTTACCGTTGGAATCGAAAGCTAAGCAAGCTATCAACCGTTGGATTGGAAGATAGCATTGTCCCACAATTGTAGAGGGATTGTCTCACTTGTGTAGTAGCCTTAGTTGGGTAGATCCTCATGAGTGGAAGGCTTGGGTAGTCTGAGTTTATGAACGTAGCCTACTAGCTAGCTATTGGTTTCATGTTGGAGGTATCAGAAGGATATAAGGATGGCATTGATCATGCATGTCATATCCTAGCCACATGGTTGTTATTATTATGGTTTGACATAATTTGATAGAGGCACATGGTTGTCAATATTATGAACTCATGTGATGTGTGTTTGAATGTGAATTTCGATGTACGTTTGTGCTTGACCACATAGTTGTTAGTATTGTAGTCGTGACAACATTTTGAAAAGCAAATATACTCATGAAAGTTGTGAAATTGCCATTTATTTCTTTATAATTGATTGGCATGTATTTGTTTAAGCTAGATTAATCTTGGCTATTGAGTGGTTGCATTCACCCCCCTCTCTTCAACATTACAAGGATTAACTCATTAAATTAGGATCGAGAAAAACGACTAGAGACATAGGATTTTGTTGAAATCCTAATGTTAGGCCTCATAAATTTATTTATGTGTATTTGATTGATATTTGCTAGCTAGGTTCCCATAATATTTTTTTTGACTACTTCCACTGATTGTAAAATTAATTTGAATGTGTATTTTATACTTTAACTTGTATGATGAGGTTGTAAAGTTCAACTAGGATTAAAATACTAATGCAAATAGGAAGATGTATAAATGTATGGATATTATAATTTATGTGATAATTTTTGAGAAATTGGCTCCTTTATATTTTTGTGATTAAGGGGTTGAAGTCTAGAGGTGGGAATATGAGCCGAGCCGACCTATATGGGTTGGCCCATACGGGTTAAGAGAAATATGAGTTGGGTTGGGTTCAACCTGTTTTTATATGTGTTGAAAAAATTCGAACCTAACCCAACCCTTAAGGGTTGGCAGAGTAAATGGGCCAACCTGTCAACCCATTTTTTTTAAATTTATTTTTTATGATTTTTTTAAAAAATACATCTAAATAATAAGTTTTAATTTGATATTTCTTCATGATTCATTGTAAATATACCAAAATATTATTTTATAATGTTTGTAAAATATATAAATTGATATAACTAAGTAATTCATGTCTGATATGGTTTATATTTACAAAATTTTCCTTCTCTCTCTCTTTTTTTTAATTTTTTTAACAGTAATATGGGTTAAATGAGTTAACCCTAACTCATCAGGGTTAACTCATATGGTTCACGGTTATATGATTCGGGTTAGAAAAAACCCATTTTAATTTAGGTCAAATTTTTTTCAACCCGACACAACCCTTATGACTGGTTATTTAGGCCAACCCACATAACCCGACCCGTATTACCGGTTCTAGTTAAACATTAAGAATGGCATTTATGTGTGATTGGTTTGTTGTGGTGTATTGCATGAATCTTGTATAATCCATTGAGTGTGATTTATGGATTTGTAAGAGCTTTATTGAATATTGGACACCCAAGTTGTGATAATGTTTTAAAAGAATGAAATTAGAAATTGGTGTTTAACTTTTGATTGAGAAGTGATTTGAATGTGAAACTAGTGCCATTAATTAAAATTCAAAAAAGCTTTTTATGAACACTTGTATCACCTCAATTGGATATTAGATGAAGTAGTGAGAAGTGTCAAAAGTAGCTCCCAAGAGCTACCATGTGGTAGCAGGTTTACTGTTAAATTCGTGCAATGTGCTGCGGCGCATGGCAAAGAGGCAAATGTGCTACAGTGTACCTTTGCTGCATTGTTTTGTTGTTTTTAGCTATAAAACAAATGTTTTGATTTTTTTTTTATTCCCATGCTTTTGCATGCCCTTTCTACTTTGATTTTTTAATTATGAAGTTATATTGAAGTGTTTTACAGTTTGAAAACTTAGGATTTTGTTCTTATAAATTTTACAAACTTGATAATCTATTTGAGTTATTTTCATGATTTTTAGGATTTTAGAGTTAATTGTGGATTAATAAGGCAATTTTACAAATGTTGTCTTGAGCAGAAGCTTTTAAAAGAAGAAAATAAGTTATTTCAAGGATGCCTGCTAGTGGTAGAATGGTAATTACAAAATGGGTTAATTTGGGAATGACAATGCAAATCATATCTATGTTCCTTGGTGAATTTTTTGGAACCACTTTTTCTCTACGTGTTCCTTTAGAGCATTGCATACTTACCTCACTGGTTTTTGGCTTATTGCTTTTCGAAATTCTAAAGGTTCATGTGGGTATTTCTTGTCTTGTCTTAAATTGGAGAATTTCTTTATTTGCTATATACGTTTATACTTCTGCTTATGGGAAGCTCTTGGGAATTGGGTTAGCTTAGTTTGTTCTGGACTATTAGTGCTTTTATTAGAAAGTGTCTTCAGACTTTTCAAGCAGTATTGTGCTGAGCAGGAGAAGTAATAGAGATTGGTAGAATTTGAGGAAAAGTAATAGAATTGGAGAAGAAATGAAAATAGTAGCTAGATTTATAAAATCAAGTAGTGAATGAAAATAAAAGTAGTCTCCAAAACAATAATGTTATGCCCAGTACAATGATGTTGAATTACAATCTCTAAGAGCCTGTTTGTTTTCTATTTTTAATTTTTTTTTGGAAAACTGAAAAATCCTGTTTGGTTAAGTGTTTTTGTTTACTTATTTGCAAAATTGTTTTCATTTTTTTTGTTTTTAAAAACTATTCTAAAAACTGTAATACAAAACAGTTTTTAAAATAAAATAAAAACAGAAATTAAGAGCTTGTTTGGTTATTATTTTTGTTTTTTGTTTTTAAAAGTTGTTTTATAAAACAATTTTGGAAACTGTTTTTGAAAATAAATAAAAAAAATACTTGTTTGGTGGTAGTAATCTGAAAACAATTTTAGAATTAAAAACAAAAAAAACCTGCTTGGAAAAATTAATATTGAAAATAAGTTCTAAAAACTAAAATATAATAAAATTTGTTTGATTTTGATCGAAATGGATATGGATTTTAAAAATGTATTTATTATGTATATGAAATTGAGATATCATTTTTATTTAATATTTATATTTATAATATAAAACTAAAATGCTATCATATAAAAAAGCCCTAATCTAGATATCGTTGTCTTCCACCACTGTCAATGTAGCCACCATCGGGGAAAAAACAAAAACAAAACTAGTTCAAGTCAAGCACAAGAAGATCAAATTCAAAGATAGAAAAAAAAGATTTGTGGAATAAGGGGAAAATCAATATCTTCTATGAACCATCAGTGTTTGGATTGTGATTTCTCCAACTTCAATCTATGCAAGAAATTTGGCCAAAAAACGAAAGATCTGAGAGAAATCCTTTCCACCATGCAGGGTGATCCAATCCTTTCCACCATGCAGGGTAACCAACCTGAACCTAAAAATATTATGGTCATGAGCTTCAATTTCTACCATTGATAGCTTCAGCCAGATGCAGTAAGAAGAAGAGGAATAGATTCGAAGAAGACGAAGCAGAAGGTAGGAGACATTCTGGAATCGCTGGATTCCATCTCCAATCCTTCTTGGACTCGACTCGGTGGCAGAGCTTTGTACGAGAATGGAAGTGAAATGCTCTCTTTTGCTTCGTCGACACGCCACACAAGTCGTTTAAGAACAATTTCCATGATTTAAGATGAGTTAGGGACTTGTCTAGGTTGTGCCAAGTCGTGAACTATGCAGGAAGTAGGTACTCTAATGGAACAGTGATTCTGGAAACGTTTCGACTGCATCCTTGCCATCATTGCCGAGAAAGATGAAAGGGGTAAAAAAAATGAAATGTTATGAAGACAAATGCAGATGAAAAGCGATGGATGAGTAGTAACCATAAAAAACTAGTAATAGACTTGTCGAAAGGAGGGAGCGCTGTGTGAGGTGACGCCGACGAGAATGGTGGCGACGACTACGAGTTGCAATGAAGACCAGAGGCAGAGTGACAGAGAAGAAAGGTGAGGCAAAAGCAAAATGACGAGGTATGATTTTGATCGAGTAGGAATCCTGAACGAAAAACTGAAAAAATGAGAACAAACAGCTTAAAATTGTTTTTCTTTTTTCTTGTATTTAAAAACAAAAAACTAAAAACAGTTTTCAAAACAGAAATTAAAAAACCATTAGCCAAGCAAATTTTTTTGTTTTGAAAATATTAAAATAAAAAAATAGTTTCTAAAAATAGAAAACAAACGGATATATAAATAGTCCTTAAATTTCTCAAAATAGTTTTCAAAATAGTTATAGACCGTATTTAGAACAAATATAGAAGTAGGAATTGTCATAAACCCGTAACATAAGCCTATAAACAATGCCAATTAGCCTTCTTAGCCTTTTTCATCTTCGGTTTGTCTTGTCGTCAAGGACATAGCATCTCCCTGTGCTCTGTTATTGAGATCGTTGGCCAAATCCCACACCATATCGACATGCAAATGAGCCATTGCACCTTAGGTTGAAATGCAAAACAAACTACTAAATACTTATATGTAAAAAGATATATGAACTTGTATTGATAGCGAGAGATAATGACCTTTTCAGCTAGAGGCATTAACATGCCCTTCCACTTAAGTGGTTGTTTGTTTTCCTTTCACTGAAGCCATGTTACTAAATGCATGTCATAATCTATTGGAATGACAAAATGAATCCAAATAGGTAAACAACCCCAACACTTATAAATTCGAAATGTTCACTCCTACTCAGTATTACTTGCAATTACACATGTTACATAATCAGATTTTAATCTACGATCACAACATAAATGGGGGCTACTATTTTAGAAATACAAACATGAGTTTTTAATTTTTTTTTAACTTGTCAAAACAAGTAAAAGTTCTGTCACAAATTCTCAGCAACATTAACACTATCTCCTCAAATATTTACAATTATTTTATCAACTATTTATAAATACCTCTTCAAATATTCAACTACGAACCACAGAATTTAACATATCATTTTCAAATATCAAGTTCACATTTACAATGGAAAATTCAAGAATTCACAACTAAAAGTTAAAGTCTTCATGTTTATATCTATCTCAGCAACTATTTGCACCTCTCTATCCATATATTCAACAATGAACTTTCAAATTTAACCTCCCAAATGAACATCTTATTCTTACACATCAAATTCACATATTTGCACCTAAAAATTCAAGAATTTACAGTAAAATTCAAATATTAATGTTCATGAATTACATAGAATGTTATTAGACCTTAATGCTATTCCAATATTACAAAAAACTATCAAATCATCACAAAAAATAGTGCAATTTCTAAGCTACCAATTATGTTATTTTAGAAACTCAAACAAGTTTGATGAGCATAATCAGCATAGAATAAAAATGAAATAAGATGAAATTCAGGGAGCTAATCAATCTAGAAAAATGAAATGAAAAGCCAAAAACTCCTTGATTCAAGCAAATCCAAACAAGAATACGGCATAAAAAATCGAATTCAGTGGGTAAAAATCCAATTACTCCATAATTCTTACCTGAAAATCATCAATTAGATGCAAACACATACATGACACGGGGAGAAGACAGGATGGGAAGGAAGGTGAAAGACCAATGGTGGAAGATATTCCTAAACTAGCACAAACAGCAAACAATGATGAAGATGTCCCTAAATGAGGAAGGCAAACGACAAGGAATGCAAACGATAAGGATGTCCGTGAATGAGAAAATGGACGTTGTTACATCTAAGATGGGAAGGACATCGGTGGCAGAGAGATCTTGACTATGATTTCACGGTACTTCACTTTGGTGTTTTGAAATGGCAAGTATGTTTAGGGCTTTGGGAATTGTTTTTTTGTGGTTCTGCATCGTTTCATTTTCTCAAGCAAGGGTAGTGTGGTCTTTTCACATATTTGACAAATAACAATCAAGTACTAAGTGACATGGCTGTTGTTTCTAAATTTTGCGAGACTTATCTTGGCCACTACTAGCTATTTGCTTTTTCATAATTTAGCAGGTCGATAGAGGGGATCTTCAATTGACTATTCTAAAAAAAAAAAAAAAAAAACTTCTCTGGCTCAGTATTTCTCGCGAGCCTTAGCTTGGGGCGACCTCAACTCCATCGGCACATTAAGTCGTTTCGAAAGGGAGAGCATTCTATGGCAGGCCAAGATAATGTCAAGCATTTTGAAGCCTGCTCCATTTCCAAGTCAGTTTTTTACCTCTCCTTTTTATTCTGCAGAAGGCGGAGACAAAGATTCATATGCTGATTTGACTGAAAATTGGCACTATTGCTTCATTCACAAGACACGTCTTAAGAATTGTTCTTGACTTGATAGAATTCCAGGTGGACTTGATTCCAAACCAAATGCTGGAACCAGGCCATTTTCCATCAACCCTTGGTATCACAGCCAAGCCGCATTTGTAGTTACCCCTCATAAAGACTGAAACACTCATCCGTATTGGTTTCATCGATCTCACCCTCATTTGTCTCATCCCTCTATCTCTCACAGAATATCACAGATCTCTCGCCTACTCAAATCTCCCTCACTCTCGTCTTTCACCTTCTCAATCTCTCCCTCCAACATGATCTCTATACACGACCAGCTCTCAAGACTCAAACTAATCTCCCACCTTTGATTTCTCCGCTTGGAGGACCTCTCAACGTCTCTCAAGTCTCAAACTAATAATCTCCAACCTTAGATTTCTTCGCTCGGTTGACCTCTCAATGTCTCTCAAGTCTCAACAACTCCGTCTCCGTCGATCCATGTTGTAATTATCCATCTCTGTCTCTTCTCCTCCTCTTTCACTTTGACCGTTGCACCTTTTCGCCACGTCCTCAGATCTGCTCCTCGAACCTGCTGTTATCTCAAATCTGTTTGTTGAACCCTAGTGTTAACTCATATCTTCTCCAATTTTTTTTTTTTTGAGCAAACATATCTTCTCTATTTTGATTGTCCTGTTATTTTATAGGATTATTGGCTTCTTATTTTTGTTGGGATTTGCTATGCAATTTTTATTTCTATTTTAAGAAGTACATGTTGATTTTATTTTTGGGTAACCACCGTTTTCTCTTTAGTTCTGATTACATTTTGGTTTTGGTTGCTATGCTAGTTTTAATCTAACCTCATTCCTTGCGTTTTATTATTATTTTTTCTTCTTTTATAAGTTTTTCTCATTTCCACTTGGTCCATTTTTTTCTCATTGATTTTCTCGCTAGCTTTTACTTTCCTTTGATTGCCTGTAAAAATTACTGAGCATCAAAATATCAAGACAAAATAGCATTCTAAAGCTTACTAATACGGATGCAGGCCCATAATTTGATCCACAATGATTCAAAAAATTTAACCCAACCAAAAAAAAAAAAACCCTCAACCATGGGTATTCCAGACGCCTCGCATTAATAAAAATTCAATGCGGGAGGGTATTAATAGAAATATATTGTTAAAAAAAAAAATATAAAACTACAGTGATTACCTGTTATGCCTTACAATAACAGATGATGATTTACTGGATAATTAATTTACTGCTATATTATTCCTCACCAAGCCTTTCCCCCCAAGTCTCACCTCCCTCTCTCTCACTCCCTTCCTATCCGAAACAGTAACACTCCTATTCTAATCCAAAATTGCAGGTAGCAACCATGATCTCGCCTCTTCTATTTTGTTATATAGAATATTTTAAAAATATATTACTATTTATTATTTTTCATTATTTGAGAGATATTATTGTAAATAATTTTTATGAGGTTATCTCTTTCTCCATATATGTATTGTACTCATTACAATAATAATTGATATGACAATTTTTTTTTTTTTTGCATTATCCCTCTTATATTTGATAGTTCTCATATTCCCTTTTTGGCCCTCCCTTGTGTCTTCTTTTTCAACCCTTTCCTTTCCCTCTCGCCCTCTCTCTTCTCCACAATCCATCTCCCTCTTTGTCGTCTTTCAAGCATATGTTTGAGAATTTTTTTTAATGATGAAATGGAATGGGGTGAGATTACTAAAAGTTTTATACCATTTTTTGGAAGAATTTTTTGAAAAAAAAAATTGAATGGCTTGAGATGATCTTCTAAGCCATTCTAAACCCATTTTTTTAATTTCTGGGTTGAGGATGGAATTTTTTACTATAAATAACATCATAAAATTACCCTCATTCTCTTCAATCCTCACCCCCTTTCCCTCTTTCACTCCCTCATTCTAAAACAAAAAAAAAATATAATTATACTTAATTCAAATATATTAATTTTATAATAATTCATAAATAATCATTAAATAAAATTGTTCATATACTCTCACATATGTTCTTAATAACGCGTATCAAAATGTAACTATACACTTGATCAAAACAGAATATAAGGCCATATTTGTTGGCGCACCAAATAACATTGAAATTACAAGTCTTTTTGCATGATATTGAAAAATACATTTGACTTGGCCGGGAAAAATTTTGATATTTTTACTGTTTATAATATTGTTGTAAAATTTAATTTTATCATAAATTAAAAGTAAAAATATATAACAGAAGTTAGCATTTGGTATGTTGAAATTGGGACTAGGAAAGTGGAAGTAGAACTTTGAAATTTGCTTGTTTGGCATGTGGGAACCCAATTCCACTAAAAATCAAGGAATTCACTTCTATCATACCTCCTCCATGAGAACTCAATTCCATTGTTTTCACTTAGATAAAATTTTTATCTCATTTCCATTATCATATTAAACATACTTTTTATACTGCTTTTATTTTTATTTTTACTTTCACTTCTATGAAAACTTTTCCCTTGAACCAAATAGGACACTACGTTTCCTCCCTTTTAACTCTGATTTTATTCCTCTCAAGTATATGTAATTTTCTTCATCACTCTGAAAACTGGAAGTTAAAATATTCAAAGCAAAGAATATAGATTGTTTCCATAATTGTGAGTAGAAGTATTTTTCTTGTGGGAGAAAAACTAGCTAGCTTATTTATGCATTACTAGCTAGCTTCCTATGCTGAACATGAATATTTACATTCCATTTCCTAGTTGCTCCTCGATAGAGTGACCACTGGCCAGAAGCCTAAAGCACTCTCTCACACACACAAACACAGACTATGACACACCAATCAGTAGAAACAGATTTATACCGGTAAACTGTTTGGCTAGAAAATAACTTAATATTTTTTGTGAGAGAGAGAAAGGGACAGAGTTACCTTGTGTGTGAGAGTGTAAAACCAGCAGACAAACTTTCACACGTTAAGAAATGAAGATTCAAGAATATAGAAAGAAAACCACATGCCATATATATTTGCATCAACAACTTGTCTTCATCCACTAGACCCAAGTACAGACATATAGTATACATATAGAAGATACTCAAGTGAGTCAAGTACCCACTTAAGGTGACGTTCGAGTCCTATTCACACCTTGCTACATAACTTATATGAACACTGCAGTTAATACTGCAGGTTCCATGAGATACAATGCACAAGTTTAGGTTGTCAATACAAATGTAACCCACTGCTAAACCTGCATTCCAAGAAAGACGGTTGAAAGAGATCTAATGCTGGCTTTCTCCCTCTTGATGGTGATAAGCTTATCATAGACACACCATGCAAAGCTCAGAAAGTGATCTCTATTCAAACCTTCATTGTAGCAACCCCAGTAACTTGGATGATAAGTAACATAGTACCACGCAGATGCTTTTGCTTTCAGATCGTCCTCCTCATAATCTTCTGCACTTCCACGGCTGTTAAACCAGGCCCTAGCTTCTTTTCTTAGGGACCTCACAGCCATAGTAATTGCTTCTACTTCTGAATCCCTTCTTTTGGTAGAAGATTTGGACATTCTCATACGATTCGCACTCAGGATTTCAGCCTCGGTCTTGATTCCATAGTAATCCATCAAATTCCCCAACTTAAAGTCATAGTTGCTTTTGTAATTGGAAGCATCACCAACATACTCCATAAAGCCATCAACTTCCATATCAGAGTCATAAGACTTTCTAGCCATTTCCAAAGTAAAAGCTGGAGTAGAGTTAGCTTCTGGTGCAATTTCTTTCACTTCCCTAAAAAGCTTTCCGATCACATTCACTGATTTATAGGTGGGTTTATCAGGTTTCTCCATGAAGTCTGGGTATTCCTTAACTGATAGTTCACGAGGTATAAGAGCTGGGATGCCGGTTTTTGGAAAGTCAACGGCAATTGAATGTAGCTTAGCAAGCTGAATGCATTGTTCAGCCATTGCCTTATTGGGGTTTCTATCTGCGAAGACAGTGTGGGCATTTGCAATCATTCCAAGATTGTCATTCACTAGAGAATTCGCAAAGTATTCCTCAACCTCCTGCACCAGAAAAAGCAAGCATCTCAACCGGTTATGTATTAGTCTATCTTGAGTGGATCTAAAAGCACAAGGCTTTCAGGAACGGAAGTACTAAAATCAAGGCTGGTTAAGTGGTTACTTTCAAAGAACATAATAAATGTAAAGAGAAAATAAAACAGGGGGGATCATAAGAGAGATTAAATATTTAAATCTTATAGCGTAAATTGGTAAATTTGGATCTTCCAAACTAGAAAAAGTACCAGAAAATTTAAGACAACTGAATTTCCACGAGACAATATTTCACTTCCGGTTTACATGATATTTGTTAGCCTCAAATCATGATATGAAAATAGGTTTGAGTTAGAGCAAATATGGATGTGAAACCATCCATAAAGCTTACGTTTCCAGCATAAGGCCTGTGAATGGTTTTCTATTCATATCCTCAACAAGGTGAGAATAGTCTAGGCTAATGGCGATGCATTTGCAGAATTGGCAATGAGAGGATAATGGAAAAGTGACTCAATATGGCCTTGTTAGACATGATCAATTCCAATGACATCATGGTAAATTGTCATGATATTAAGACATAAAGAGGATGGTTGAATCCAAGAGAACAACACCTCTATCGTGACATTATGATCTAATTGTATAATTTGGGCTGGAGTATAATCCATTGGCACGATTTGCTGCAGTGGAATTAATTCAGGGTCCCAGCAAACAAAGTAGATGTCTCCATCTAGATCACTTCCCGAGCACTCATTAGGGTGAGGTCTTGTATTGAAAGTCAATTATGGCGTCAGAAAACGAATTACAAAATGAAATACCCAAGACAGTTAAAAAAAAGAAACACATCAATTTACTAGAGAATTCATTGATAAATAACTTCCTAAACGACAAATCTAGCTCTTCCAAACGTGGAAACGTTCAAAGCCTCATTAAAAGAAACAGTTTATAATCTGATCTAATCAAATTTCTTTAGATTTATTTCAACATGAATAGAAAGTTGCCAAACAGGTCAGTATATTCCTGTTTATATAAGACAAAATAGTTTAGAATAGAAATATTTTAATTTTAATAACATGTATGGTGCGTGCGCACATGTATATCTCCTATTTACGTGATGCGAAGTACCAGTTAACAAATGTGATTTACAACTTATATGTGCTTGAAAAATATAGCCAGTCAGAAACAGAAACAACTACCACAGATCATATATAGGGCTCACATAAATTCAATAACATTTTAAGTTTCATCTTAAAGGGGATTCTTGTTAAATTGTGACAGATATGATACCTTAAAATAAACTCTTTTATCAGGAGACTCGCCAATCTTGAAAGTCATATTTTATGGAAACAGGAGAAAAAAAATGTGACCATATAACCTCCTTAGTATAAGAGATTGATAATGCAGAAGAAGCTTCCATCTTCTGTTTAATTACAATTTTACATAAAATATAGTACTTGACATTTTCTCACGGAAAGAAGAAAATGATGAAGTTGCTCTTATAGAAAGTATGTGAGTTGCAGTGGATAGGTAACACATTATGCAGATAATTTTACTGCAATTATGCATGATGCTGGCAAAAAAGGAAAAATATAACTATTAATCCCCATAATTTTAATGTGTTTTGGTATAGACTCCTATAGTTTTTTTTATAGCTCTAGGTCCCTCTAGTATCTTGTTTGCAATATCATCCCTCTATTTTTATTATGCCCAAAAGGATGATGAGCTAGTACTAACAGTGTTAAATATGTTTACCCATGACTAATGTCGTTAATCTTTGCTGAGGTGGAATTATGATTCAATAGATCAACAATGTTGTTCACCATGCTTTGTTTCATGTTTCAATCTGTTGAATCATAATTTCAACTCAACACAAAGATTAACGGCATTACTCACAGGTATATTTAGCACTGTTGGTGTCACCTCATCATCCTTTCAAACTTATTCAAAAATATGTTGCAAACGGGATAAATTATAGGGACCTAAAGCAACAAAAAAAAGGAAAAAGAAAAAACTACATGACCTATACCAAAATACGATAAAACCAGAGGGACCAATAGTGCAAAAAATAAAGAACTTCCATGGAAAATAGTCATGCCAAATGCAATCCCTCAAGTCCCCACCTGTTTGAACATGAATTTGCCAGTTAAACAATATGGCGGGAAAATGCTAATCTCCTCACATGTATTGCTGTCTTCAAAAGCATGTATATTAAGTAGCAGAAGCACACATTCACAGATTCAAGAACACACAAACTTACAAAAGAAACACAATCGTGTATTCATTATTTCACCGATACTTGGTGAGTATTTATCCACAGATTAAGAGACCAGAATCTTTGATTTCACACAAATATTAAATTTGAGACCACCTATGGTCCTATAAAATAATATTAACTGTGTAAAATAACGAAAATGGAAGGAAATAAGCTTACCTGGATCCTTTTTGAGGGAAAACAACACAATCAACCATGTGATGAAGAGCTGGCACATTAACAGCCTTCAAAACACGCACATCACCTGGATGCAAGCATGGGTTTTTTGCAACCACCACCTTACCTTTGACTATATGAGATCTCTTAGAGCCATGTGCAACGGAACCATCAGACAGTGGCATGAACCTGTTATCAGAATATTGCACAAATACTTGACCATATTCCAAGGTTCTTGTTTCATCTAGACATCCCATCATCGCTCTTCCATTTGGAACAAAAATTCTAGTTTTGCGTCGCAATTCCAATAGTTTTAATGCCCTGAATGTTTGCAGCATCATTGAAAGAAAAGGTTCAGTATCAGGCTTATAACCGCAAATGAGCATCTCCTTCAGAATATTAGATATCTCCCCAGCAGACATCATGTTCAGAGTCTCCTGTGCCTTTAAAGAATCTGTCAGTAATGAGTTCAGTTGGTTTATAGCTTCCTTTTGTTTTTTCTCAAAGACATGATCCTTGACACCAAGAGTAGACAAGAGAGTGATTATCTGCCGATTTAGATAACAAGGCTGAAATTTACTACATGCCAAGACATCTAGTTTTGTATTATCTGATTCATACTTGAGCATGCTCCGACGCAGTGATAATTTCACTGATGATGTAGGGTCAACAGCCACAACTCCTTTGTATCCACCATATCTAATCTGAAAGGCAGATGGAGTGGATTTATAGCCACATTTTATAGCTACTTGCCTGGCGAATTTAGCAGATATCTTCCCAATCCCATCAGAGAAAGCATAGTCAATTCCACCATGTTCAACCACCACATCAGGAATAATCTCAATTTCATGCCGGCCAACACTTGACGTTTCAGTAGATGAACCAAAAGATTGACCCAGTCTAGCAGCATATTTAGCTAGATTTCTAATCCTGCAGAAGTTCCCCATCCACTTTCTAATGGCAGTAGCATTAAGTCCACATCTTGTAGGAGCAAACATCCATAAAGAATTCTCCCGCAATTGACTTGATGAGAATGCTAGAAATTCAAACCTTTTATCACCAATTAGTATTCCATTTCTAAGAATGGAAAGAATTCTGGTATAGATCTCAGTTTTTCTCGGCTCAGTAGAAGATCTACGAGGAGATAAAACTGTTGGAAACAGTTTATCCAACTCCTCGTCAACAAATGAAACACGCAGGAAGTTATCAATGAACTCATGGAAATGACGAAGGACACGATTGGATACATTGACCTCTGGGCCACAGAAATAAACTTTACAAGGGGTTATCTGAACCCTGCGAACATATACCAAGCCATTATCTAAGGATAGGGATGGCGACTGGAAAGGATGCTGTGATGCACGATACTTTCTGTACTGATCAATCATCCACTTTGAAGGGTCAAAGCAGAATTCCTTTAAATGATACATTTTCTCTAAAGCATGTTCAATGAAAGCACGTTCCGTTATACGTGGATCAATCAAATAATAGAAGCCACTATCTAGCGCTGGACCTGCAAGACACCCATGCTGAAGCAATGAGTTAACTTTGAACAGGATGTCATATGGTATGTCAATTCCTTGAGGAGGAGCAACAATAGGGACTAGATTCAAATTGTTAAATAAAGGAATTCCTTCCTCTAAAGAGAACTTCCTCTTGCTTTCCTTATATTAAGCAAATATTTCCCTGAAATTTGGAAGACAACCATGAGAAGGAAGCTGCAAGCATATACTAGAAGACTGGCCAATACAGCCAAAAGGAGTGAAATCTGTTGCTCGGATCCATTGATCATTATAAGTACGTACATCTTTCTCAAATACTCGAGGAGCACCAATTAGCTGACAATTGAAGAGAAATTGATAAACATACAATATTTCTCTGAAGTCAAATACGCAGAAGATTACAAATTACAGCAATACGCAATTACACAACACATGCAATCACATGAATTAACAAGAACCAACCTTCATGAATGAAAAATTAGGTTTCACTGTTTATCAGGGAAAAAAAATATAGGTTTCACCAACAACCCAGAGAATACAAGCTTGCACGAATTCTCACAAGCACTATTGTGCACTGTTAAAAGTATATGAGCTTTAAGGGTTGACCCTATGTTATATTTTCCTTGTACTTGTAGAATTATGTTATATTTTCCTTGTACTTGTAGAATGTACTTCACTCTTATCTTATGACAGGCAATGAACGGTATACATGATCTGAAAGGCTTCCTCAAAACCAACCCCGAATAGAAGATTTAGGCGATAGGCAAGGAGACATGACTATTGGGATCTAAACCTTGTAAGGCACCTTTGAAGTCAAATACGAAGCAGTTTGGTAGTGATACTGATGCGCTTAAGTGACTGGAAGAATATATAAAGAACTGGTTCGTAAGTTGAATATCAAACTGTCATCTTGCTTCTCCAACGAGTGAATAAATATACAGGCCTTACTCTTGAATCTATGCACCTAAATGACATTAGAAACGTACTGAAAGCTTAAATTTTATCAATCAAGATATATCACCACATTTATTATTTATTCATCTAACTATTATTTATGAGATAATCTCACATTACATATATATGTATGCACGCGCGCGCACTCAGACACTGCATATGCATGTATACATGCCACAAATAAAAGCATATTTCAGTATGGAAAAAGTAAGACGTCTATAAATTCAGCTTCAAAATAGTAAGGTGGATCTCATGGAATAGCATTTATTCATTACTATCTATTAAATTTTTCATGTAGAATTCTTTAGATCAGTATTTTTTTCTTTTTTTTTTTTTTGGGGGGAAAAACATAGCTTTGGGTCGCTACACTTTGCTTGTGTTTTGTTTTTATCCCCTGCAATTTTTTTGGGGTTTAATTCCCTAAACTTTTGTTTTTCAGTGTTTTAAATTCCTCCAAAGTCCCTACACTTTTATTTTTCAGTGTTTTTGATTCCTCCAAGATCCCTACACTTTGCTCATGAAGGGATAATATAATAAAAAATAAAAGTGTAAGGACTTATAACACTCAAAAAAAGTGTAAGGACTAATAACAAAATACGAGCAAAGTGTAGAAATTAAAAGTTATGTTGTTTCTCTTTTTTTTTTTCCTTTCTTCATTTTGTTTATGATAGAAATATCAGATAATCTAGAAGTTTTATTACCTTGATTGCATTAGCTTCATTTCACCATATCTTTGTTGTGGTCAAGAAATGAATCCTTGACTTCTACCAAACTTCACCCCACCCTTATAAATTGCAGCAAGCCAAGTGGTTTGTATTTATCATAATATGGTCAGTGTTCTTTATAACTATCGCTTCAGCAGCAATTCTTTTATTACATTTACTATAAGAGTATAAGAAAATGCAGTATATACTTTCAAAATTCAAATCCCCACAAAATAATGTATATTTAAGAACCTGAATCAGAAGATACTCTGCAGCTTCACCGTGTGGACGATGCAGCTCAATCTGCCAAATATTCTCATAGGAAAGCTCAAGTTTATAATCCACCCCTCTATAGGACAGAAGGAACTGCATCTTTCTCATTCCAATCCCAAAGTTTACTTCCTCAGTCACCGCTTTCCATAAAATATAGAATCTTTCCTTTGAGATCTGACAGCCAAAATGTAGTTTCTTATCTTCCGAGCTATGAAAATATGTCACTCGCTTTCGCCCGCTATCTTCTTCCCATGCTCGAGCCATGCCCTTGGCGAATCTTAAGAGTCCACTGTTGAGAATTAAAAGAGGAGTGACAGTGAATATAAAAATGGTCAAAGGTTAAATCTCAGAAGGTACAGTATGCAACCCAATCTTCGAACAAGAATTAAATTTATGTTCACAAGCCAGACGGATCATATGGGTCAACCGAAGAGGGAAAGATTTGTATTCATGGGAAACGTTTAAAATTTTTTTCCCCCAAGAGAAACGTTTCCTTTTGCGTTAAAGTTAAATCACCAAGAGCAAATTTTAGAGCAACCCAGCAAAGCACCAAAGCAGAAAAGGAAAAACTCATTGAACATCTGAAGACCCACCAACAACAAGACAACTAATCTGACATATCCAAAATTCTGGAAAAACACCATGATATTCTTGACAGAAATGTGATATTCTTGGAAGAGATTAACCATGCACGACAAATTTGCATGAACCGGAGAGCAGTAGAGGTTTCAGTTAATGATCACTCATCATCCATCAAAATGCAAAAAGATGATCAAAATCCAGAGACAGTCTTACCAAAGCAATCAAAAGCCAGGAGATCCAAGCACGGGGAGAGAGAAAGCAAGAGGAATTTCTTGTTCTACACTAGTCAGCCGAGTCAACACTCTCACTCTAACTGCTCCAGTACTCCTCACTATCCATCATTGGAAGTTTTCGACACTTCTTTTCTCCGCACTCCTCATGCCTCGGCACGTCGAACGAAGCTGCCAAATGCCCAATCATAAAGCAAAAGGCAACGAGAAGTCAGTAAAACTGGCACCCTTCTGTTTCGCGGAAAGCAATCCAACGTAAAAGTTTAAAACAAATTTAAAAAAACAAAAAGCCCACGTAATATTTGATAATCAAAAAACTATTTTTTATAAAAAATAATACTCTTTTTATTTAAAAATAAAATATTTTTTTCACCTTTTTAATAAAATAATTATTTATTTTTAAATTAAATTTATCTTTTTTATATTTACTTCTATTAAATACCTTATAATAAATATAAAGTCTTCATTAATAAAAATATTTTAAAAAAAGATAATAATTATATTTCATAAGATTAAAAATACTTTATATTTTTTGATATTTAACTTTTTAAACAATATCTTATATTTTTATTTTTTTTAGTGGAAGGAGTAATAATAAATGCAGTCCTCAGTCCCCTCGGTTCGATTCCCAGCCAGTAGTTTGTATCGGTAATAGTTTTTTCTAAAAAAATAATTTTTATTTATTAAATATTGTTGTTAGAAGAATAACAGTAAAATCCTGAAATATTGAATTAATTACAGTTTAGTTCTTACAAAAAATTTTAAAAATTAAATTAAAAATATTGATTTAGATAATTAAAAATTCAGGAATTTTAATTATAAATAAATATTTAAATTTAAATATTAAATGTAATTGTTAAATTATAATAAATATTTTTATTTATAATTATTTGAATTGATATTTATGAAAATGAAAGCAGCTCTTGATATGTGAGGGGTCAATTTTGAGATTTAATATATACATATATATGTTAAAAAAATTTAAATACTTTTATAACTTATAAAATATCATTAAATGAAAAAATTGCTTGTAATTATACAAATATTTAAAATTTTATATTTTTTAATTATAAAATCCTTTGACATAACTTGCACAACTCTAAAATTAGTGTTATGATTATCAATAATCGAGATACTTTGAGAATTGAAACAAACAAAAAATATTAACCCCACCATCATTTCCCCCACTCTTCCACGGCTTCTCTTTCACACACCATTGATGATATGAGAGAGAACAATGGGAGAGGGGTCTCTTTATTTTTTCTCTTCACTACCCTCCATTTCTCCCATCCCTACCATTCAAATTATTTTATTAAATATTTATTTTAAGTAATAAAATTAATGAATGGTGGGATGGGGGAAGTGGAGGGAAGTGAATGAAAAAAAAATGGAGAGACCCTCCTTTCAAGAACAACGGTCTTTAGTCTCCCATGTAATAATAGGAAGAGAATTTTGGAGGAATCAATAAATGGCGATATACTTGTCTATATGTATGGGTCCCAGCTTTTGAAGGCAATATGATTGGCACGACGATCGTGAAATAAAGAAGGGAGAATTGCACTAAGGACCCTGAGAAAAGGGATTATTTCACTTTGGGCTTGAAAATTTTGATATTGCATTGCAAGTTCAAGGGCCTTTGTTGCAATTTTTGTTAAAACCAAAAATATGATTTTGCCTTTATAATTTGAAAACACAACCTACGTAACAATGCACAATACAATATCCACTTCACACAACACAATTTTTATATATTTTCAATTAAAAGTTCATGTATATCCAGTTTATCAGTAGGCTTCATACAATGTATAAGTTAGGCAAATAATGTACAATACAATATTCACCATACATAACACCATATTTATATATTTTCAACTGAAGGTCCATGCGTGTTCAATTTATTAATAGGTTAGGCTTAACAAAATATACAAGTTATGCAAACAATGTACAATATAATATGCATTATGCACAACATAATATTCATATATTCTCAACTGAAAGTTCATGAGTGTTTAGTCAATTAATAGGCTAGGCTTAACAAAAATATAGGCTAGGCAAATAATGTACAACACAATATCTAATTTGCATAACACAATATTTATATATTATCAATTAAAAGTTCATGCTTGTCTAGTTTATTAGTTGATTAAGCTTAACAAAAAGTTTTTTAGGTTTATGAACAATATAAAGTCTGTATATAACATAACAAGGTCTATTTATTAAGATCATAATATCCATCTATTTCATGTGGTTTATGTGATCAAGCTGAACATTTGAAAAAATTTCTCAAATTTATGAACAACAAAAAGTCTGAACATCCTAATTAGCAATATTAATTATAAAGATACTACATGCATTAGGGCCTAAAACAGTACTTAATATTCAATGGTGCAAGTATAATAAAATATGAACATCTTAGTTAGGAATATCAATTAATTACACATGCAATTAAAATTATGAGAGACTTACAATAGGAAACCGAGTATCCAAGCCTTTAGTGCTTTCCCTTTATCCTGCTTAGAACTAGTGCCTATAAAATCTTAAATAGAGGAGTGAGTACAACCACTCATTAACCAAGTTTCATCTAATCTACACAATTGCATATTAATCGAAAACGAATGCAATTGGCAATAAACACACACATAAAGCATACATGACAATAACAATCATGTGACCGAATTTCAAATACATAATATATATATATATATATATCAATAATGCACAAATTTAGGGTCGCAATAATACCAACCATGTGCCCCTAAAATGCACCGAACCACAATACTAACAACCATGTGGCCAGGATTAAATGCATGATCATATGCCAACTTTATGCCTTTCTATTACCTCTAACATAAAATCAGTGGCTATTTGATGGCTACGTTCTTCACGGATTAACCCAGCCTTCCATTTGTGAGGAGCTATCGAGCCAAGGTCAACTCACTCACTTGTGTAATTTAGTTTTTTCCAATACTAACAACCATGGGGTGTCATACTCCTAATCTAGCCTCCTCATAAATCGATTGAGACTAGTTAGGTTTAAGTCCCTTATAGAATAAGTAGGACAGTCATGAATCAACCGATAAGGGCTACCTCTAGATTCTAATGGTCAGTGCCAAGGCAAGGTCCTAATTCTAACAGTTGCTGCCAATATCACGTGGGTTTAATCAACTATTCCTCTCACTAAGCGAACTCTCAGCATTGATCATGCTATGCATGTATATCACATATGTATATGCATTCTAATCAACCATTCATATCATGAATCCACATATTCATACTCATTCCACGCACCAACTAATAAATAATCACATTTTCTCATTCATCATCACTATTACCATATATATGAACATACATATAATTTACAACAATAGTACAGTACAAACTACGTCAAATTTGCATCATGAGTTTAAAAATATTAAACATGTTTCAAATCATTCATTTCAACAAATAATTAATTAATATTCAGCTATATAAACTAAATTTTTTCTGGTTACTTTAAACTTTTGAGAGGTCAAATGTTATCCCTAAATCATAACTTATTTTTCGAATTAAATTCAAGCTCACCGATGCTTTGTAAAGTTAGTCTACAATTACATTAATACCTATGACTAATCATCATTAAAATTATCACTTCCAACATCTAATTTCATACTTTAACAACTAAATTTTTAACTACAAGATCAATCTCACACCCAATGAGTTCCTTAACTTTCATCAATTTCATTTAGCTTTCAACATTTTAAATATGTCATCTAACAACCCAAAATTATCATCCATGTCACAACTTACTTACTTTCAACTCTTAAATTTCAACACCTACATAACCTAAAGCTCTTAACTATTGAGTTTAATCACCACATTAGGTTTATTAACTTCTATTAGCTCCAACTAACACTAACAAAATCTTTAATCAACATCAATGGCATCCACTTGCCTCAACCACTACCATTTTATGGCACTTTAGGGCATAATTTTGTCCATAATTGAGAGCTCTCTCTCATGGATGTATAAAACCACTATATTTAGATTTAGATAACTTAAACAACTTTCATCAGTCTCATTTAGATCAATGAATTCGAATCTATAGCCTTAGGTCCGAAAATCATCATCTCCCAACCTCAAATCTGACTTTCAAAATGTGTAGAGAGAAGAAGAAGAGACAAGGAAGAAATACGTAGGTGAAATCAAGCTCCAATGACCTTCAAAATCCCCAAAAGTTGATATCTTAGTAGAGAAATCACTCTCTTCATCACCCTCCTTCTGTTTTATGGTGTTTTTTTATTTTTGCATTCTTAAAAAGACTGGTTTTGAAAATTGTGCTGCAATAAGCATAATGCACAGTGTGTTAAAAATTCAATTTTTCTTTATAATTTGAGTCTGTGAGACCTAGTTTACTTTTAAACGCAATCTAAAAGCTAAAATCAAATCTAATAGCTGTCTCTAACTATTTTCAAATCTATTTATATTTAAATTTATAAATTTATCCTTCAATAGCTTAATTAATCGTAGGAATAATTTGTTTGAGATGTTACATGTTGAGGTTAGGAAGACAATGTATAACACAATATCTACTATGCACAATACAATGTTCATATATTCTCAACTAAAAGTCAATACATGTCTAGATTATCAATAGGCTTAATAAAATATACAAGTCACGCAGACCATAATAAGCAATAAACTTTCATTGAAATAAGAAGGATAATTGCATCATATATGGATAATTTTATGTTGGTATTGACCTAGCTACTAAGTACCCGCATGAAATTTGACATGATATTTCAATTCTGATATATACAAAAAATTAGCGGTTATATTCAAAATATCTAAGAGCTTCTTGTCTATATACAAAAAAAAAATCTGTCATTATTAATTACCTAAAAATTATTACTTGAAAATGTTTCTATATACATAATTATAGTTGTGTTTGTACACAAAAAAAAGTAGAATGTGAGTATTTTTCATGCTGGGTTAGGATTCTTACATATTCTATGATTGTGCTCAGCCTCCCCACGTCTTGAACAATGATCTCAGCTCTATATACGTCAATCCTTCTATTATTTTTCTTGCAATTACATTTTCACTCTCATACTTCATACTACTATTAACTTTCCTCACAAATTCATCACCATAATAGAAGAAAGAAAATAATTTCTTTCTCAAACTACTTG